TCACTCGTTAGCCGAGTGGTCCCAAGTACGACTGCCGGGCAAAGGGTCTCTGGTTCAAGCCATGCTAGAGGCTCATATATTCATGAGGAGCATTCCCGATCCGCGACGCGGTGACAGTCGAGCTACTACTGAGCTTCTAGCATGGCTTGAAACTAGTCGAGTTCCTCGTCAACAGTTACGTGAGTAATTCGAAAACGTAATAATGAATTTAGTAGGTCTCACGAAAGTTTTAATATAAACATCATATTCAACTTTATTTCACGATGAAGGACCAGTTCGACTTGGAAATATATGAAAACATTTTTAGTAAAAGGTTTTCATGTAGGGTTCTCGTCCCATAGTCCACTGTTGGATTATGAGCCTCATCTCCGTAAGAGAAGTTTGCCATTGTCTCCACGATTGGCAGGTGCGTTGCAGATCAAGATAAATGTATAAACTATACACTTATACGGCTTTTGCAACACCCGCTAGAAGAGAACGGATATGAACAAATATGTATTCTACTCTTTTGGTGCAAGTAACATTTTCCTCTACTGTGTAATCGAATACACAGAAATATAATAATTTATACACAATCATAGCCTCAAGACCCCTGGACCACATTCAAAAAGCTTTTGAAATATACTGCCCAAACTGAATAAAGTACCATACCATAAAATATATTACACATAAATAAAATATACATAACATAGCTAAAACGTTCCTGTAAATCACCAAGATATATTAAATAAAAATATTAAACATTAATTAATAATTAAAAATAGTAAAAATTAAAAATAGGGGAGTCATGCAGTAATGGGGTGTGGGATGGAACTGTGACTCGAAAACGTAGCTACTACTTTACGATTTAAGGTTTAAAATCCATTGTTTTAAATATAGCATTTTTTAAATTATTTTAACTTTAGATAGGTGTTTTATTTGAACTACATTTTTAATAAGTTTTGGTGTAGGTAATCTGGACTCTGGCTTAATCAGTTAAAATATTATATAGTCAGTCTATGTCTGTCAGTCTTTTCACGTAAAATTTAAAAGTAATTTAAAGAGGATTAGGTACAAATTACTTGACAAAGGAATTTATAAAAATGACAAACGTTTATATATGTAAACATACATGGGTAACATCTACATATAAAAAAAAATAGATGAAAAAATTTACGACATTTCCTGGTGTCGAGCGATGAGTGCGTGAGCTTACCTCGATCGAACGATGGCACATCTGAAAATGTGGCAAACGTGAGTGCGAAAATACATTATTCGATGTATCGACTATTGTGCTGGCCGATTATTCGATTTATCACGGCTAATAAACCGATTACTCGCGTCAAAACGTCAACAGATTAGTCGATTCGATCTTAACGCGTCGAAATTAAACAATATAAATATTAAACTTACGAATAAATAGGTATTATACTTGCTTTGTTTTTGCGACCGAATTGACTAATTACTGATTTGGGGTAGTCGATTAAATCGACTATTAGTCAATAATCGGTACATCTGTATAGACCAGGAAACTCTATAACGTCACCGATTGATGAGTGATCATGGAATGGCTAGTACAAAGCAGTTATACATACCATTTGAAACAATAATATCATATTATTACATTTTATTCGTGACGAGAATATTTTAGAACTATTGGATTTTGTGCAAGAAGGTTATTTAAAATTTGGAATAAGGTTGGTCTCAATTTTTTACTCAATTTTAAAAGTGTAACCAAAAAGAAATAGAAAAAAAACAGGAATAATCCCCGAGGTGCAATTAAGAGATTTTTTAGTATTTTAAAAATAATATTTACAAAATATTTCTTAGGTAATGCCAATAGAAACATCGAATCACGAACTACAATTAGGATCGTCTTGCTTTTTATTATTAATTTTGTTAATTTTAGAAGAAATTTTGTTAAAAGGCCATTAAGTATTGTCGTATCAGCGAGTCTAGAATGTTAGAAAGAGCAAGACGATATATAACAGAGAGAGACAAACAACTGCGTTGTACGTTACAGGCACTGTATAAAACGACATACGTACACATATATTGAATCATAAATAATCACAAATATATAATTTCATGCCTTATGATAGCATTTTTATTATTATTAATATTTTTTTAAGGTGTAAATATTTTAGTTCATAGTTATTTATATTTTAAGTTGTATATATTTTCATTTAGTAATAGTTATTCGTAATTTTATTTATGTCTATTAAATGTAAATGATTTATTGTATCCTGAATCGTGATACATCTTACTGATATATCCCAAATTTAAAGTTGATATTTGAGTAGGTAACAGGTTGAAGATGTCAAGACGTAATGTTTAAAGTAGAGGTATCCCAGTGATTAAGTAAGAATTAGGGACACGAAGATCTTCTGTTATAACTTCCTTATGTAGGTTAAAATAACAAATTGTGTGGTTGTGGTCTGTACCTATTCAGTTTAAGACCACCAAAAAAAACTTTGGTCATATTCTCTTTCTGTGGCCCTTTAGGTAAAACGTTTTTAAATAATTTTATTCGTGTATATGTCATTTTATACAGTGCATGGTAAGCTATAGGCAGGTGGTCACTCTTGCTCATAATATCTCCAATGATCTTTAAATTTTATCTCACGATCATGGGATATTTTGCTACGCCATGAAAATCAAAACATTACGTAATAGTGTTTTAATTTTCACCATAGTAGCATTTTCACAAATCCAAGGCTCTCGATTTAATGTCGACTAAATAATCGACTAATTTCAACAACCGTATCCGATTAATCGATAATCTGATTTTAACATTTCGTCTGTATTTGAAAATCATAAAAAATGCATGAATATTAATTATTCTATATTAAGAAAGTTTCACTTTGAAATTGGAATTTTATATTTTTTAAAAATCGTACGAAAATCCGACAGTTAAATAGATAGCCTTGTTTGTGTCGATAGAGCAGTGTACCTATAGTAGCGTGCAGTGCGGCATGAGGTATGCATGACGTACCGGGCGTGGGGGGGGTGCTACCTCTGGAGAGGGGCGGCGCGTGTTGCTGGTGCGGCGCCGCGGACGCCGGCCGCGGGTAGCGCCCCCTGGCGCCCAGCCCCGACCGCACTGCCTCCAACTTCACCGGCGACGGGATGAAGCCCACGTCGCTACCCTCCTTCACGAGGCGCCCGATCCACCAGTTGTTGTCGTACTTCTCCTGGAAATGTTGTGCAGAGGCGTTGGTATTATCTAATTGATATTTGTTTAGGATTAAATGCATTGATCGATTATCGCCGCCTTCGATCGTATGAGTTACAAAACGACTGGCCACGGTACTTCAGGTAAAAGACAATTAATTGTTTTTGGTTCATAACTTCGTGGCACGGAATCTGAACATTCCTTCAATATCCTCTCTAAAAGGATAACAAACGAGTAGACGGATCACTCGATGATAACTTATCAGCGCTGTCCATGGACATCACCATTATTAATGACTACAAAAACATCTAACGCAATCAGTAAAACAAAATTATTCCCACGGAAGGTCTTCTAGATCTAAATAATGAAGAACAATATTTAATAATACGTATGACGCTTACCTTGATGTGGAGAAAATCGCGCACCTCGAAGGAGATTGCGCTGCCGTGTACCGGCGAGTCGTCGTCCACGGTGCCATCGTACGACACATTGGTGCGCACCGCGAACGCCACTGGCTTCTCCTGGAAAATTGTTGATGCAATTTTTAGTACTTTCCTATACTGGTTTCTCATTGACCGACATTAAACTCACAACCAATGACTTGGCGGACCGCGATCGAGGATCGAGTTCACTTCGATCTTTCAAATTATACAATTAATCTCTATAGTTGTTCTGTTTAGTTACAGAATATCCGCTATGTTCTGTTACTATACGCAGTAATAATAATAAACAAAAAGATTCTAGTACTCTACTTTTTATCGGGACAAGCCCGCCACAACCTCCCAAAACCGCTGCAACTCCTGTAAGCCAGGGTCTACAGTAGATACAACCATGAAAACACCGGAACACAAGTCCGGGGCGTCTCAGGGGCATGAATGAACACAACGAAATGAATCAGAAAATATTATAAGATACGATAGTTTCTACTTCTCTTCTCAGTGAATTACTGCAGAATGAAATCAGAAATAATTTATTTGCCAAAAATGTAGGTAACAAATATGTTGTTTTATAGCTTATGGAGAATCCCGGTACATTATGCCTTACGGCATGCAAAATTATTGAATTAGTTAAATAAAATTATGAAATTAAATTTTTAAATTGAATCAATACTAAATTAATTAATAACAATCAAATCATTCATAATTAGGCACAACCGCACAACACAAATTATACAATAATGCTTATAATAGAACATCAGAAATTTAGATTAACAGAAACTTTCATCATCAAAAAAATCTTTAAGCGAGTAGTAACACTTGTCTAATAATAACTTTGTCAGCTGCTTTTTAAATGTAATGGATAATTCTTTTAAATGTATAGGTAATCGATTATATATAAGAGGACCCATAGAAAAAATACTCTTTTTAAGTAAAGATGTTTTATAACCACCTGTATAAAGTGAATGAATTAAGGCACAAAAATATACTATACAACTGGGAGAAGCCTGGTCTTGGCGACTGCACCACGGTAGTTTTACTAAAAACTGAACCACTTGCGTAGGCATACATTTAATTAAGTGCGTAGGTCTACCTACTATGACTGTAGGCAGCTGTTATTGTATCCTTTCAAATGTTATCCATAAAACCAACAACTTTCCACACAGAATTGACATTCAATATTTAACTAAAATATCCCAGATTATCTATATATTCTATCCATAATAGATATAGAATTGCCAACGTACCCGTGCCTTGTCCAGCTGTTTGATAGCCTGCGCTTCCTTCTCGCGGCGCAGCGCCTCCTTGTCTTCGTCAAGCGACAGCTCCGACGATGGTTGGGAATAGTTTGAATCTGCTGAGCCCTGGAAGAAGTAGAAGGATGCTGTTAGGACTTTGTTAAGTATTATAATAACAATCTGAAGGAGCATAGCTAAAATTATTCGAAGTGTATCTCACCAACCAATCCTATGATCTTAATGTAGATATACCTAAGTTTATAAAGGTATGATATGTTTTATTGTTCGTTCAGTTTAGTTCGTTAGTTTTCCAGAAGTTGCACTATACTTTAGTAGACTCAGTCACGCGTACAAAACATCATTTATCATCATAAACAATTATGCATTCGTTTGATGTCCAGGACCTTAAAATTTATTTACAGACTGGACTAAGTTTTGACTAAACGGAATAGTCAATAATTATTTCAAAGTAATTCTTATTTGTAACATTATTTTTACTGACTTGTAAAATATTAAACCCCGATTAGAAATATCTATTCGTATTGTCGTGTCTCGGGTCTCTGTAGACAGCTGTAATGTTTGTCGCTAGATATTTTGTAATACCAGCACTAGAATATTGTAAGAGTTCAAGGCTACGAACCTTGACATTTTTGGATCAGTTCCACCAGTAAATACTTGATAGTATTGCAACTTTTTAACCAACAGTTATATTGACGTTTACTGCATCTTGCACTTTTATTGGTTGTAAACATTTATGAGTGAACTTTATGGTTATTTTTAAATATTATGGTGTGGGATGTTACGCTGTCAGATAGGGGTGTAAAACCATGGCGTAGAATATGTGAAACTCCGCTTATATGTGTAGAGATATTGTCTAACAGTAACTTGTCCCGGACTATGGACGTGTCGTCATGGAATGTGACGTCACTGTTGAAGTGTGGAAATATCTACTAGAGGCATAACGGGATAATATGGACAGCACCCTTCTAGTCTTCATTATGCAAATATTTATATTTTTACCGATTTATAAATCCTTTTAATCCCAGTAGGCACACTGCACATACACAATGCGACATCAACTTTTTGTAAAATTGGATAGTAGTTTTTTTAATATCTAATCGTCCTTTTTCATTCACTGTTTTAAATGTAATTTATTTTACGTTTTTATTCATTTTCGTGTTGTTTAAGTTTCTCATTTTTGATTTGAATAAATGTTTAGAATACTAACACATTTTTGTGAATACAATACAATGAAACAATTTACTACTTATGTGCAACATTTAAGTTACATTATAGTACATAGTTACTTGTAATTGCTAAAAGCTTCCGCTTTTTCTTCAAGTTTGTTGCAATTTGCTAATACAAGAATAATGCTGTGAAAATCAACTAACAACTACGTTCTCACAGGAAACTTCTACAGCAGACGCTAACATAAAACGTGACTTAGAAACAGAGGAAATCTAGCTCAAATTGCTAGAAATACGGGACCGTTATTTCTTTTTTGGTAGTACGCTAACATTGTTCCAAAATGGCACGTAATTTCGAGCCTTTTATAGCCCGGATGGGTTAGCTGAACTGCACATGTTTAATGTTAAGTCTTCATTTCGAATCCAATGTAATAGACGACAAGCATATCTTCCGCTGTATATAATATAAACTCCGTAATATTGAACTGACAATTTCTAAAGGCGAAAATCCCGATTATACATCACTGGATTAGGAAACAAATTCGAGACCTAATAACTCAGTAGGAAGTCGCTTACACGACTAAAATGGCTGTCTAAATTAAAATTTAATAGTCAAGTTTATAAAATATAGTTCCAAAAGTACTCTGGAAACCAAAATGCCAGTTATAGTTGAACTAACAATCCATAAGTAGTGCAAATATTTTGGCACGAGACTCGAACGACGCGCGCATGCTCAGGACCGCTTTGCACCAATCATGCAGTTTTTACCACGGCCTATAGGGTACAGAAGTAATATTAGATGACCTAAAATATTGGAATTTTAGTGCTATTGTTTTAAGCTTTAATGTAAGCTGATTGGTTGAAATGTTATGGGGTTTATGGCGCGCCCATTTTAGTCCGTTGTTTTTTTGTAAGCTAGTTTTATAAAATAATATCATTAAGGACAATTTTCAATGCCTCAACAAACTCTCTCACTTTGGTCATTTAACTTTTTATATCAGAAGACACTTGAAGGTTGCGTTTGATTCTTGAATCTTTGAACATACTGATTAACGTTTTTTCAATACACACTGAATTGAAAGTGAATATCAATTTCAGTATGCTACTGCTGAAAAAAAATCATTTTAAAGCAGTACAGTAAGTAAATTTCATTATATTATTATTTAAAGTTTTTATGACGTATAAATTACTAAATCGAGTAAAAGTCTTAAGAAAATTTGCAGGTTTTTTTTTTAATTCGTCATAAGCTCAAGACGTTTATAACAAAACACAAAGTATCATAGACAACACACAGGTGACAAAGCACACAGATAATAAATAAATAAAAAATAAATACAGGGTGTCTTACCAAGGGCTTGTAGTTTGTCATTGGGCGGTGGTGAGGTGTGCCGACTGCATGCAACGCGAGACACAGACAGACGGAAATCAGACAGACATGCTGGGAGGCTAGGGTACAGAATGCCACATTGTTTATTAAATAATTACTCTAAATTAAAAAGAGAACATCCTCCCTTTGGGGAAGTCGGTTAAAATTGTCTCTTTGGTGAAGAAGAAACAGTGGTTCAGAAAATTGACGCTAGTAATGTCTTTCTTCGGTCTAGATGCGTCATTTTAGTATCTTAACGCAGTTAAGGTGTAGGGAGTATTTTCTATACTAATTGATTTTTTCTTGCATTTAAAGAAAATGACTAACACATCTTATAAGAAGTATTCCGGCTAAACTTCAGATATTATTTTAGTTTCCGTGAAGATGTTTGTCAGTTTGCATGTAGGTAAAAGATGTCACATCTAGACCGAAGATAATAATAATAATATTTTTATGTATGTAATCGATACGTTAGAGTAATTATTTAAATCGTTATAGTTGCAGCACTATATCGAGTGTGGCTGACTGTACACAAAGAAATGTCGGCACATAATCTAAAAAATAAAACAATTAGTTCATGCGGTTATCTGTTACTGTGGATTTGTATTATGTTAGTGTCATCTCGTTTAAAAACAATTTTTAAATTTAGAATTTTGATTAGTAATTTTTTAAATAACAATTTCACCAATTCGATTATAGCCAATTTAATGAGGTAACATAAATACAAATAAATAAAGAATTAATTGAAAATAATATTAAGATCATTTTTTTATTGAAATTATAAATCAGGTAAAATGATTAGAAATAAATTAAAATTATAGATATAAATACTTGTAAAGTATACTCGAGGTATGTATGTGAGTCTTACAGCAAATGAGATGAAACTACTAACCACTAGCATTATACTTGTAAAAACTAAAAGCCTCTAAATCAAACCATTTAAACTAAAACATACTACAGACGACGCTCACCTTAGGCAAAGCTTCCAAAAATATTTAAATAAAACAAAAAAGTCGTCTTCACACTTACAAACATTTTAGATACAAACTACAAGACGAACCGACCGGTATTTTTTTTAAGAAATTAATTTACTAATTCATTTTATTACGAACTGTCATAAAATGCCGCGAGAACTTTCATTCACTGACTAAGGTATTAACCCATTCAGCCAGGGAAGAAGTGTTAGCTCTGTGGCCGCGATTGATCAAGGCTGGAACAACACTGGCACGACGGTTTCGGCGGCAGTCTGGCGGGTCGAAGTAGTGACGTCATTGCTTCCCCCTACCACCCACAACTGGCTCGATAACCCCCACTGTGCATACTTTACGCCCTTGTTTTTGGGGCAGCGCCAGTAGGGGATTTTTTATTTATCAACCGCCGTTTTGGCTAGCGATACTATGTTTTTGTGTAGGTAAGTTATTTTTTATTATGCGGAGTTTTCGTGTTTGGCTTGGCTCACGAAATTCTTACTGAATGGTTCAGGGGGATGGGTTAGGGTGGAAGCGAACTCACAACGAGATAATCAAGGACTTGCCAAGTCACCCCATGAAATATTTTCTTATTTGTATGAAACCCACGAACAAACTACTGACCTCCATTCAAGTACATTTAATTGTTCTTGCAATAAACTTATTCTGGCCACGATCAAATTAAGCTCGAACTTATAAAAGGAAAATAATATAACATAACATAACATCACGCCTTTTATCCCCGAAGGGGTAGGCAGAGGTATACATTATGCCACTGTACAATGTAACACCCACTTTTCACTATTTATGTTATGAGTCCCATGTAATAGGGGGTGAGCCTATTGCCATATACCGGGCACAATTCCAGACTCCGTGCTACTACTGAGAATTTATAAAAACCCCTACTGGGTTTTTATAAATTCTCAGTAGTAGCTACTTTGCCCGACCCGGGAATTGAACCCGAGACCCCTTGCCCGGCAGTCGCACTTGCGACCACTCGGCCAACGAGGCAGTCGAAGTCGAAAATAATAATAATATAATATGCATTATGCTAGATGTAATCATGTTAATAACTAGGACTAAACCAACTTTAGTCGATTATTTTAAAGAATAGATTAGCCACATCTCTAGAATAAAATAAACTTTTGAATTATGAATCTGTCAAACTTACAAAAAATTTTTTTAACGCGGCAATTTTGAAAATAGAACATGTCAACAATATTATTTTATTTATAAATTAAACAGACCATAAATAAAATGATGTTTTTTAATAGCAAGTAAACGTTTTTGAAGACGAAACGTTCACTTGAAGAAAGTAAATGAGATAAAACTGTCTATCAAATAGTCTGGTGTTTTGAACGATCGAATGACGTGCATTCAATAATAGTAATGTATTTTTATTGGTCTATTTCTGTAGGCTATGAAATGAATCGTGATCAAGTGGACGCTTAGGAGGGTTAAACAAACGAAACTGACAGATATCAGGTACCTACGCATTTAAATTTTTGAACACAGAACCGTAAAGGAGTTTTATTGATATTAAAACAAAAAACATTAACATGTGAATTAACAGTTGAATTCACTATGCCAAGTTTTAGATTAATT